TATTAATATTTTTTGAGTTATTAACGAAAAACTAAATACAATTTTTTTTAATCTTATTTTGTTAATAACAATTGCAATTTTTTACCTGCACCAAAATCCTTCAAAAACATTTTTGTAGAGGTGATTCCGAATCGAATGAGCTATCGCTCATATTTTTAGGAGTTTTATCTCTATTTATCATGTTTTTGAACTTGTTGATTAGACTACTAGGGCAATTGCGAATCATTGGTTTGAATAACACGGAAGGGTTGTTGGGATACACACAGTATATCGGCGAATAAAAAGTTTCGAACTTTTTCCCATCATCCCCATTGGGTGTTGCCACTGACTCTCGAGCATCGACGCAACCGATTGCACTGGTGCAGAGACAGAATAAATTGGGATCAACAGTGGAACCGCGTAGTCTCCAGCGATGAATCTCGTCTTTGTTTGGTTATGCACGATGGACGAGCAAGAGTAAGAAAGCGTCGTAGTGAAAGACGAGATCCCCAGTTTGATGTGGAGAGGCATGTTCACCATACTGTTAGTTTAATGGTATGGGGTGCCATTACTTATGGTAGCGGGACACCTTTAGTCTTTATTAGAGGCAACATGACAGCTCTTCGTTACATTCACGAAGTAGAGGAGCCTCATGTTCTTCCATCGAGAACCCCATATTTCAACAAAACAACGCTAGACCGCATGTGGCTAGAGTAACTGTAGAATTCATGGATCAGCATGACATTAAAACCGCTTACCATGGCCACGCAGATCGCCCGATCTTTCACCGATCGAGAGATACTCCAACAGGATATAGACCACCTTATCAGGACAATGCCCAGACGTATTCACGAGTGTATAAGACATCGAGGATCTGCAACACATTACTGAACTTCACTGGTTTCACGACCGTCCAATTTATCTGAAAACTTTGTTTGCTATTATCTGTCAAGTATGTAGGTAAGAAATTATTAAAATATTTTCAATATAAATGGGTGTTTACCTTTCTTTGTCACTTAGTATTTGTATAAATATGACTAAAATTTTGTGAATCTGATTTTTCATTCTTCGAATTTGTTTTCCCGTTTACATGACCCATTTCAGGAAATGCACATTCGTGAGATTTTTTTTCACAATTTTTCTACAATTTTCATGATCTGTTATATTATGTAATGTACTGACAGAGCGCAAGATGAAATATTTCTTTCACAGTCACTTTCATTTGATGTGAGTATGGCTTTCAAGTGTTTTAAACACTGACCAATATATGCACTGACCAATATATGCTCCATTACACACACAAACACACGCATATCCTTAATTTCGAATCCAATAACATTGGACCTTTTTTTTAATTTCAAATAAAACACCTTTTCAAAATTCTTCATTTCTTAGATTATAATAACCTTGGTGTGAGTGTCATGACTTATCGAATTCTTTTTTATTTCAGTATACAGTGGAGACATAATTATATCGCTCGATAACATTCTCGATACGGGGGTTGTCTACAGGCATAACCCGAGGAATATCCAAGTAAATGAAGAAAATACCGGTGCAACAGAAGATTCAGCATGGCAAGAATCATTACTACAAAATATTGACTCGACAACCACTTTGATTATAAAACATCCGATAACTAGTCCTAGAAGCAGTCTGAATATACTCTTCGACCCTAATTCTTCCGATGTAACCGGAGACACAACTGAACTTGGCCTAAGAAATTCACTAAGTGGACCAACGATCCTCAGTGACGATCTATATATATTTCGAATTAGTTCACCAGCTTCTGGGGCTCTTTCCGGAGATGTTTCTGATTTATCCGGATATCAATTATTCCCACTGCCCAGGGATATCAGTTATAGCAATTGTCCCACGTATTCAAGTGTCAGTTTGATCTTTCGAAATATTCAATTGTCCACTGCTCCGGAAACTACTGTGAGTCCTGCACCAGGTCCAAGTAAGACTCGTGGACCAGGTCCAAGTACGACTCGTGGACCAGGTCCACATACGAGTCAAGAACCACGTCGAAGTATAAGTCCTGAACCACGTCCAAGCACGAGTCCTGAACCACGTCCAAGTACGAAGCGTGAATCACTTCCAAGTACGAGTCATGAACCAAGTCCAAGTATGAGACGCGAACCAGGTCTAAGCATGATTCGTAAACCAGATCCAAGTACGAGTCGTGAACCATGTGCAAGTACGAGTCGTGAATCACGTCCAAGTACGAGTCCTGAAACACGTCCAAGTACGAAGCGTGAATCACTTCCAAGAACGTGTCACGAACCACGTCCAAGTATGAGACGTGAACCAGCTCCAAATACGAGTCGTAAATCAGGTTCAAGTACGAGTCGTGAACCAGATCCAAGTATGTGTCGTAAACCAGGTCTGATTACGTGTTTCAAACCAGGTCCAAGTACGAGTCGTAAACCAGGTCCAAGTACGACTCGTAAACCAGGTCTAAGTACGAGTTTCAAACTAGATCCAAGTTCGAGTCGTGATCTAGATCAAAGTACGAGTCGTGAATTAGATCAAAGTAGATCTAGTCGTGAATCACGTCCAAGTACGAGGCGTAAATCACTTCCAAGTAAGAGTCGTGTACCACGTCCAAGTATGAATCGTGAACCAGGTCCAAGTACGAGTCGTAAACCAGTACCAAGTACGAGTCGTAAACCAGGTCCATGTACGAGTACTGAACCACGTCGAAGTACGATTCGTGAACCACGTGCAAGTTTGAATCGTAATTCAGGTCCAAGTACTAGTCGTGAACCAGGTCCAAGTACGAGTCGTGAACCACATGCAAGTACGAGTCGTGAAACACGTGCAAGTAAGGATAGTCGTGAAACACGTGCAAATAAGGATAGTCGTGAAACAGGTCCAAGTATGAGTCGTGAACCACGCCCAAGTACAAGTCGTGAAACACGTGCAAGTAAGAGTAGTCGTGAAACAGGTCCAAGTACGAGTCGTGAACCACGTCCAAGTACTAGTCGTGAACCACGTCCAAATACGAGTCGTATACCACGTCCAAGTAAGGCTCGAAAACCTCGACCAAGGGATAATAATGATCCACGTTCAAGTGCAGATTCTGAACCAGATTCGAGCACAGAAAATAATGATAGATATTTTTTATAAGATTACTAGTTGAGACTTGAGAATAACTCAGTCAGTTCTGTTTGTTTTATCATTTCTCTAGTTTACCATACTTAATATTAGTTAGTAACAGATATATTCTGCTTGGTAAGAATCATTGACACTATTCATGATAATGACTACAAGTTTTCATAATATAAAATTACTTCAACACTCGTTTCACTACAACAGTAGATTCCTCAGTTAGACTGGCACCCTAAAGTACTTCACAATGCAAAATATACAAATTATCGACCCTAATTAATAGAGATCACTGATTGATGAACAAGTAGTTATAATAACAGGTATCCAACAGCAACGTAGGCGAAAACTATTGTTACCAATGATTTGACTGATTCTAGGAAAGTTTTCTAGAAAATAAATTCAAGAGTGGTGAGATATTAACTTCTTGTTAGTCGTTCAACATAAAATTTTAATGTTTACATTTATTAATCTCCAGAAATTTCAGCATTTTTACTTTTTGTCCTTTATTTGTAGTACGTCGCAGTTTATGTCGAAGTCGTAGTTGTTTTCTAACA